TGTAGTGACTGTCTGGATGATAAAATAACACATTCCTATGAGCGATCCAAAATACCATGAAAACAATAATAAATTGTTAATCATTAATGAGTATAACAGTGGAATAAATCGTGAAAATAAGTGGGGGTAGAATATAACAGATAATGGTCTGTGGTATCCACACAATATAAGGATAAAGAGTAGCGAAATATGAACATGTTCTAATAAGCTCTGGTAGAATAAATAGCGTCAATTAACAATTAATGGATTGGAATTTACGTACATGAAGTTTATATGAGATAAAAATAATCCAGACGTAAGATGATAACTGCATTGATGGGTGATATTGATTGCTGTAATGCTATTGCTAGTAATCATAAAATGCAAAGTCAGTGTACGTTGTCGTTTGAGTTATGACAGATGCATAGAGTTATCGTTAGATATATATTAGTAGAACGGCCAGATGAACAGAGAAGTCATTGCGGAGACGAGATACGCGGAGTCGTATTCCTTTTTGATCGCAAAGTCTAGTGTGATTTTTTTGTTCGAGGAAGATGCACGCGATCCCGTTTGTTAAAAAACCGTACTTCCTTGCTTACTTACATCTGTCACCCCACGTGGAGGAGCATAGGCCACCCACCAACATTCTCCATCCGACTCTGTCCTAGAGAACCCCTTCCAGTTCTTTCCAGTTGATATTCATCCTTTTCATATATGCTCTCTATTCCTGACATAATGTGTTTTTTGGCCTTTCTTCCTTCCGTTTCCCTTCAGGATCCTAAGTTAGGGCTTGTATCGTGGTGCAGTTTGATGATTTCCTCAATGTATACCCTATCCACCACTTCCATCGTCTTTTCCTAATTTCATCCTCAAATGGAACCTGGTTTGTCCTCTCCCACAGTAGAATGTTGCTGATGGTATCTGATCAACGAACATTGAATATCTTGCATAGACAACAGTTTAGAAATACTTGTACATTTTTGATGATGGTTGTAGTAGTTCTCGAAGTTTCAGCTTCGTACAGTAGAACTGTCTTGACGCTCATATTGAAGAATCTCACTTTCATGCTGCTTTGAGTTTCATATGTTCTTCAACTGTAGGAATTCTGTCCTTGCTTTGCTTTTACGTCTGCATCTGGTCGGCCTTGTTCATCTATGCTGCTATCCGGATACATGAAGGATTCCGTCCTTCTCAAAGTTTCTCCATCAAGTGAGATTGAATTTGTGTTCTCCGTATTGTATTTCAGGATCTTGTTTTTCCCTTGTGTATATTGATGCTTACTGCTGTAGAAGCTGCCGCTACACTTTTATCTTCATCTTCATTTATTCTTGTGCATGGGATAAAGGAGCTAGGTCATCTGTGAAGTCCACATCGTCTAGTTGATTCAGAGCTATCCATTGTATCCTGTGCTTCCCCTTAGATGTCGAGGTATCCATAATCCCGCCAACCACCGGACTAAAGGGAATGGGAGAGAGTAAGTAACCTTGTCTGACTACGGTCCTCACTTAGAATGCTGTTCTCCATGCACCACTTTGCACTGTAGTCCGTTGTGTGAATTCCATATGATGTTAACGATCTGTTCAGATACACCATAAAGCCAAAGAAGTTTCCATAGTGTTCTACTGTCCATACTGTCAAGCGCCTTCTCATAATCAAGGAAGCTGATGTATAATGACGAGTTCCACTCAACTGGTTGTTCAACGATTATCCGCAGTGTCGCAATTTGGTCTGTGCACGACCGATCCTTATGGAATACAGCTTGTTAATCTCGAGATTGGGCGTCCGCTACGTCTTTCATCCGGTTCAGAAACACTCTGTTGAAGACTTTCCCTGATATTGATAGTAGTGTGATGCCTCTGTGGTTTTCACATTCACTCAGATCTTCTGTCTTTAATATATTTATGAGATGTCCTTCTCGTCAGTCTATAGGGACTTGTTCCTCCTCCCAAATCTTTTTGAATAGAATACGGGGCATGTTTGCAGTTAATTCTATGTCTGAGTTTAGTGCTTCGGCTCGTATTTTGTCAAGTGCTACTGCTTTCACACTCTCGATTTGTTTGATGGCCATCCTGATTTCTTATGTGAGTTTGACACAGTACCAACCCCTACACTTTCAGTGTATTTTTCTAGTTAAACCCTTTTTTAAAACAGTTTTTTAGAATTATGAAAGCCCTTGATAATGAACATTTTTTAAAATTTCTAGTTATAAAACTGGGTAAGTGGCTTAATGTAATCTATTCAAAGCCAATTACTTTTATGCTAAGTGGCACTCATTACCAAGGCTTATCTGCAAGCCTGAGAGTGAATATCCACCGTGGGATTCGAACTGAATAGTTCATATGTTGTTTGATGATTGACCATCAGGTGACTTTCTATAAGGCGATGATGTATATGCTGATTGATGTAATGATTTACGCTTATCTATCTATCTATCTATCTATCTATCTATCTATCTATCTATCTATCTATCTATCTATCTATCTATCTATCTATCTATCTATCTATCTATCTATCTATCTATCTATCTATCTATCTATCTATCTATCTATCTATCTATCTATCTATCTATCTATCTATCTATCTAATAAATTATTAATACCCTGAAGAAGTCCAGACAAGTTTGCTGTACCAAACTTTGGAATTATCTAAATCCCACTCTCTAAGATTATTTCAAATATTATTTTTATAAATAATGTTTAGGTGAATAGTGTAAATAATTTTTCACAGTGTCAATTTCTTCTTAGTTATCAGTATAGATTCTATTTCAATTGGATATAGGTAGGTGGTTATAGCATCAAGGAAAAAGCGTTCTAAAGAAAGGAATCTCAGTAAACGTTAGGTTTTAGAATTTTATTCGACAGAATGCAATAAAAATACTAAATGTGGGAGATATAACGTTTATAGAAGATGACGTACTAGTAAGGTAGCTATGCAAAATTTATACATTTTGGATTTGATTTATCAGTAATGTTCTACATTTCAGCTAAAAACAACCGTTTTAGACAGCATAAACTCTGAGTATAATCATTCAGAAATTAACAAAATAAACGGTTATAAGTGGTCTTCAATTATTGGACCTAAACTGTTAATATCAGATTTCTTAAATCACAGTCAAAGTTGTAAGGATAAGAGATGGGAAGAATTGTTTTCTTTTTTAAATTTTCCTCAGTATCTTCATGAATTTCGATAGGACAATATCATTTTGACAGAGTGAAACATTAATTAAAGTACGATGACTGTAGCTAATAAACTACTGTAATGTAGAAAGGAACTAACATAAGTCAACTTAGCCCCCAGAGCTTCAAGTTTAATCAACAATATAACAAGAATTTTAGAGTAGTAACCGCAAAAAACTTAAAGGTGTAGGGTTAATTCAAGAATTTTTCTAAAAATCCTAATCAGAAAGGATAAAGTTGCATCATGTAACGTTTTTCAACTACTGTAATCCTCTCAATGTTTTAAATCTATAAAATGTTTATTTACTTTGAATCTTAGTCAAATCACTTGGCTTATAGTCAATTCATTGAAATTAATTTTCAATGTCGTCTTAATCAAAATGAGTTTGAATACAGCATATCAACTTCAGTTGGAAATTTGAATCATTAGAACACAGTTCCATTACCAACATAATATTACAATTTTGATGAATCCTTTTGAAAAGTCATTTTGTAAGTTAGACAGTTTAAAGAATGTAAATATATGAAATACATGTTAACATGATCACAACTGATTGATCACTGGGTGGTGATCAATGTCATGCGTGTCAAGTCCTTATTTAGTGCAGATCGAATGCTATCGATCATGTGAAGCTGGGTGACACGGGATCGAATCCACTAAGGAGAACCAGTTCCCTCAAGATTACAGGTACACCTTGCTGACGAGTGCCAAGTAGCACGAAACCCGGGTCCAGGGTTTCCTGTCGACTACCTCCAACCATCATCTAATCTCAACATTTTAACGTGATTTATAAGTGATATATATATATATATATATATATATATATATATATATATATATATATATATATATATATCCTTAAATAATAAAAAGTCATTTATATCTGGTTCTAGAAATTTGTTGTTGTCTTGTCACTTTACTATCCACAGACTTATGAAATCATATGAGAATTGATTGTAATTCACAGAAATGATCTTATCTTTACGCTATATAATACTTCGTTGACAATGTAACTGAGGTTCTATCTCCTTATCTTGCATTACTCATTCAATGTACAATTATCATTATCAAGTTAATTTGTAATAAGGCGTAAGATCTTTATAGAAAAAAATATCAAAAACATGCAAAACTATCAAATGCTGATTAGTAAGCAGCCAAACTCCAGTCTTCTAAAGTTTGCTGAAGCAGTTGCTAACAGACGTCAAAAACCTGATTTATGTGTTCAAAAGGAGATGGTTATTAAACTTTCTTTGCCTTGGTGACTAATATTCCTTCGCTGTACCTCAATATACTTTTTTTCCTTTTTCTTTAAACTGTTTCTTGCACTTATTGCATCATTGAGATTTATTTCAACTATCTTTCAAATTAATAATTTTATTTTATCAACTGAACTCTACTCATTTTATCCCTATATCAATGTTTACTTGTTCCTAGCCGTTTGAACTGTTGTCACAATGTTCTTTTACATAAGGTATATATTTACAATATTCAGTCTATTCAATTTATTTACACCTTTGCTATACTATACGAATATGTCTTCACAATATAACCTCCAATCAAACTCTTTCATGTAAGTCATTTAAACCCATTATGTAATCATGATTTATAAATATCACAGGTTGTAAGCAGTTGACAAGACCCAACGAAATCAAAAAATGAATCCATGCTATTCTGCTAGAATGTTTATTCTTTTATTATAATAACCTGATTGGTTATGAGATATATGGGAGAAAATTATTTCACATCATTCTATTGGTCTATTTTTAGGGATCAAATCACAAATCAGTACCATTTTTTATTTTATATTATTGACTTAAAATGTGACATTTTTATGAAAATGATAATGAGTTTCTTTGTTTTTTGTTGTTGTTGTTGTCAATATTAAGCTATCAAATGTTAATTCTTAGTCTCTTTAATAAAACGAGTACAACTTTAATGATCAATTACTGATTAAACCCATTTCATTCCTATAAACCATCATAGTAAAAAAGAAGAGAAAACAATAATGAAACAAAATGATTCACAAGATTTAAATACTACTTATATAGAAACTGATAATCATGTATATAAAACATTATCAACAATAAAAACAAGAAACAAAAAATATCGATTTGATCCATTTTGGAAAAAATCAATCAATGATTCACAATCATCTCTTCCATATTATTATTCTCATACAAGATCAAGTTATTCATCAAATGAACCAATTCAAATGAAATCAGAAAGTAATCCAAGAGTTTCAATAAATCATGAATTATTGATGAAATCAAATAAAATGAGATCAACATCTGTTATATTATCACCTATAACAAAACATAATGAAATAAAAACAATAAATGAACCATTAGTAGTTGTAAAATATGAAAAACAATCACCTATACATAATTTAGAAAACATTCATCCTATTGTAGATAATCAACTTGATAAACATCATGATTATCATCATCATCATCATCATCATCATCATTGCCATGATCGTGATCATTATCATTATCATCATCATCATGATGATCCTCAACAATCAATCCATTCATGGAGTAATAAAATGAAACATAATTGGAGATCAGAACCATCTAGTTTATTTTTGAATTTGAAACATAGAGATACTTTTGAAAATGTTCATCATTCAATGAATTATCAATTAAATGAACAGATTTATAATCATTCATTCAATCATTCAAATATTCCTTATTTACCAATATTATATAATAGTTTAGATAAAATTCATCATAGAACATTTAATTCCATCAATAAATTATATCATACTACTACTGATGAAAACTTAGATCATCATAAAGATCAAAATTCTAATTTACATTTATCAAATATTCATTATCAATCTCTTCATTATAATAATAATAATAATAATAATAATAATAATAATATACCCAAATCATATTATAATCAATCATTATCAACACATAATAATAACAATAATAATATTGATTTATCGAATTGTAAACAATCAATAACTGAACCATTAATTAAATCAATAATCAATGATCCATTATCATCTATACCATTGAATTCACAATTATCTACAATGAAATTATTCAATAATAATAATAATAATAATAATAATAATAATCAATCAAAACGTGCATTAATTAATGTTGGCGGTATTAAACATGAAATATTATGGCATATTGTTGATCGTTATCCAAATACAAGATTAGGTAAATTACATCATGTAACTAATTTACAAGAATTATTAAATTTATGCGATGATTATGATCCTATTAATAAAGAATATTATTTTGATCGTAATCCAATCATATTTTCAATGATATTGAATTTTTATCGATCTAAAAAATTACATTATAATGATATGATTTGTGTAATGGATTTTAAAGATGAATTAATTTATTGGGGTGTTAATGAAAGTTTTATTAAAGCATGTTGTTCACATCGTTATCATCAACAAAAAGATTTAATTGAAGATGAAGTTAAAAAAGAAGAAAATTGTCTAAGACAAACAACAACTATTGATGAATTTGGTTCTGGTTGTTATGCAAATTTAAAAAGACAAGGATGGAATTTATTAGAAAAACCGCATACATCTAAAGCTGCTAGGGTAGGATTTATTTATTTTTGATGTTATTGTTGATTATAGTTATATGTCAGCATAGATATTAAAAAGAAGATATTCTTAATTTTTATATATAATTGTCAGTATAGAGTTGTGGAGATTGTTGAATTTTGATCGAGATCATCAATCGATCATAGACAGATCACTATCGAAAACCAGTATGCGATTTCTCAGCAGTGTGCATTCACTATCTCGCACTCAAGAACTGAACCTAGGACTTTCGGTCTCAAGTGCGACCGTCTTCTATTATATTTAGTGAGTAACTGCCTCACATCTGCCACGGATAAACTCTACCGGTCACGGCTTCTCACTAGAACTCCAAGGATTCCCTCTCCAAGTTAGTCACTAGTGAGCACATGATCGTTTCCAGTTTACGGTTGTCGAGATTGTTGAATTGTACTGAATTCATGAATCGATCAATGTAAGACCGCCATTGAAAACCTAGAAGAATTGGACGGCCGTTTTGTCCTAGTTTGGAGCTTCTCAACAACGCTCATCCAATTATTATATATAACTTACTGCATGTCAAGTTAAACAGATTTTTTCACAAATATGTTTTTCACATGTGGCTAAAATTGGAAACTAGGATATGTATTCTATTCTGATTAAAGCTAACTTAATGTATGTATCTTAAGTTATGTGTTGATTTTCACATTGGGACTCGGTTCCGGTACTTAAAGTACTTCTTATTAATATAAACAGTTCAGGTAGCTATCAGTTTGTTTAACGCATAGGAACCTAACTGTAAAAGTTTATATTATCTTGTGGTTAATATTCATATATACTATAGATGTGATAAACTAGTTTACTTGAATTCGAGTGTTAGACAGAATGAAAAACACAAGCGAGGCATCCACCATTCATAATACTGTATCGTATCCTATATATATATATAGAAAACTAAGTGACTGACGGAATGCATACTCATCCAATTTCCAGAACCAACAATTCACGGAATGAATGATGTTTCATGTGATTTTATTTAAGCAACAAACATCGTTTACATCACTTTACAATATCGATCTGATCTTTTGTCAACAATAACATAGATTTGATAGTTATACAATATATTGATAAGTGAATGATCTCATAGTCTATAAGTTTTCTTTACATTTGCATTATTTATTAAGACAGTCATAGAAATTAGTAGCTACACAAATTTATAATTGATCGATCACTGTGTGGTGATCAATGTCATGTATGTCAGGTCCTTCTTAGTGCCGGTCGAATTCTATCGATGAAGTTGCAATAGGGTCACCTGTTTAGGTGACTCGACATTCCGTGCACTATGTTGTGATAAGATGGTGGTTGAAGGTAGCCAACAAGAAACATTAAATCTAAACTTCAAACGAGTTGGTTCTCATCAGGCAGACATACTTGTAACTTTGACAAAAGTGATACTTCCTAATAAAATTCAATCGTTACAACTCAATTCTACAATCTGGGATTTTACTAATGATTACGTGCACACATTGCTGATGAGTGCCAACACCAAGAAATCTAGGCTACACAGGTTACTTTGCCCCTATCTTCAACCACTTAATAAAACTCATCGTCAGAATACAATTATATATCAAAATGAGCAAATAACATACTGAACTAATCCATAATCCCATTATTGATCGCTTTCTATTTGAGAAAAAACAAACAAGTAACTGAATGATTTTCACTATAATCCATATAAAAAGTGTTATATGTATAAACAAATCGTATTAGATTAACTGAGAATAAGAATATTTTTTCTTTGAATATTGAATACCTTTAGTTCAAGAGATAATTAACTTCCTTACATACTCCTGTTACTCCCAGTGGAGCATAGGCCATCAACCAGCATTCTCCAACTCACTCTGTCTTGAGCCATCCTTTTTAGTTCTATCCAACTGTTGTTCATGCTTCTCATTTCTGTCTCCATTTCTCAGCATAATCTGTCTTTTAGTTTTCCTTTTTCTTTTTTTGATCATAAGGATTCTAAGTGATATCTTACCTTGTGATACACTTAAGTGTTTTCCTCAATATGTGTCTTATCCAATTTCTTCGTCTACAAACAAGTTGAAAAACAAGTGCATATCTATACATGATTTCTTTCTTTTTCTCCATAATATACATAGATCATATATTCATTTTTCTAAGTTAAACTTACTTTAATTCTCTATAATCTTTCTCTTTTTTTATTCATTCACATACTACTGATTAAATAAGTTTTTATTCAGTAATCTATTGTTATTCTGTATTTTATTTTTGTATATTTTATATAATAAACCTAGATCAAACTAATTTCATTCATCTTATTATAGAGGACATTCAATCTTTGCTTTTAAGGATTTGCATAAATTTATTACAATACAAAAGTCAAAAGAAGAAAAAAGGAAGAAAAAATGGTGGAGAACAGTCGGCAACTAAAAAACAAAAACAAAAAAAAAACAAAATAAACCACAACTCATTTATTTTAATTAATTGTATTTATTATATAGATCAGTTCGCTAGTCAGCTTATGATAAATCTTAAAAGTCAACTAAAATTTATCATGGAATAATTATTGAATAGTTATTTTATTCTAGTATAAAGACTCATGTTAAGTGTTTTGTTCACAATACGATCAAGAATCATATCTAGAACTGTCATGTTTTACTGCAACAAGTGCTTAATATCAATTTCTAATGTTGCATAACCATCTTTTAATACAGTTGGTGTTTCTGATTGAGATCATGAACCGATTGATGTTAGACCACTGTTAGAAACCTGGAAGCATTGGACGGCCGTTTAACAGCCGTCTAACATCAACTCTATCACCATTGGATGCCGGCTCAGTGGTTCAGTAGGTTAAGCGTTCGCAAGCGAGACCGAAGGCCTTAAGTCTGAATCTTGCGAGCGGGATCTCTGATGCGCACTGCTGAGGAGTCCCACAGTAGGACGAAACGGCCGTCCAGTGCTTCGAGGTTTCTAACAGTTGTCTGACATCAATCGGTTCATGATCTCAATCAAAAACTTAATAATCTCCACAACCCCTATACTGAGAATTGGTGTGATTCGTTCAACTCCTAATTTGGTTGAATTCCATTGTTCACTACTTCAATATAGAAAGTTGTTCTCAAAAAAAAATAAATAGTTCAGTACTTATTCATTCTCAATGGTTATTTATATAAACCATAAATATCAAGGTGTTTAGTTTTGTTTAAGAATAATAACAGTAATGGTTGTTTCAGATTTGACATACAGAAATATTAATTAGGATGATACATTTTTTTTCTTTTTGATACACTTTTCATATGTTCTTTTTTGAATTGTACCATGTAATCTCTAAGGAATACGAACTAGTAGTCTGTCATTTCTTTCCATTTTCATAAGTATTAATAGGATGTAAATGAGACTTGGTTTTTGTTTTTTGTTTTAAAAAACATTACACAAACAAATTCAGTAGAATGTATGATTTGTCATAAAATTTTAAAGAGTATTTTGATGTGTACTACTAATGTCCACAAATATAAGTAGTATGTATTATCAATGGAAAGTGAAGTGTCTGATGGCAGAAGATTGAGAAAAATTGAAAGGAAGTGATTAAGAATAGAGAATGATTGATATGGAAACAAAAGAACAATAAAGTCTAAGATAATTGTTGGATATTTTGTAAATGAAGTATTTACTGTATGGTTGTCAGATTTTATCAAGATATTCTATAATGTATGGAAATACATTTGGTTGTCTTCATTTGTATTCTCATTCACTATAGTATGATTATGGTAGGAGATTTTATTTTCCCTAGTCATTTACAAATAATGTTATTATTATGTATACACAAAGAAGGATTATTATTTGCAGGTTATTAAAATATAAAATGTAACTATAAAACCATTTTTGTGCAAACTGGTGACTAAATTTGAGAGCGAATTGTCGGAGTTTTGAACTTGGTTCTTGAACCAGTCAATAAACTCATTTAATTGGTAAATTTAAAAAAAGATGAAAATAAAGGTGAAGGTTTTATAAATGATATGATGTTATGACTTGTTCATCAGAATATCAGTTGAATTGTAACGCTACACTAAATTCAATTAGTAAACTCATATAGTTACTTCTTAATTACTTACTTACTTACGACTGTTACTCCTAATGGAGCATAGGCCTGATCTTCCTCTTTTCCTTTGGCCTTGAGGATTCCATGTGGGGGCTTGTCTTGTGACGCAGTTCGGTGCTTTCCTCAATGTGTGTCCTATCCACTTACAGCACTTCTCCCTGATTTCTTCCTCCACTGAGATCTGGTTTGTTCTTTCCCACAGTTGGTTGTTGCTAATAATGTTTGGCCAACGGATCCGAAGTATTTTGTGTAGACAACTGTTAATAAACACCTGTATTTTCTGGATGATGGCTTTCGTAGTTCTCCAGGTTTCTGCTCCACACAGTAGAACTGGTTTGACATTTATATTGAAAATCTTGACCTTGGTGTTGGTTGGAAGAGAGTTGCTTTGAGTTCCAAATGTTCTTCAGTTGTAGATGTGCTGCTCTTACTCTGTCGATTCGCGCCTTCACATCTGCATCAGATCCTCCGTGTTCATCGATGATACTGCCCATGTATGTAAAGGTTTTTACATCTTCCAAATCTCCCCCGTCAATTGTGAATGGATTGGTGCATGCTGTGCTGTATCGGAGAATCTTGCTTTCCCCTTTGTGTATATTGAGAGCTACTGCTGCTGATGCTGTTGGTACACTGGTCGTCTTCTCCTGCATTTGTTGTTGCATTTGCGATAGGAGGGCCAGATCATCTGCGAAGTCTAGATCGTCCAGCTGCATAGTTACTTCTTAATACTGTGCTTTTATTACCATTGACTTAGCCTCACTATTAAGGAAACCAAGAAGGATAAACTTGATCTGTGAAGAATATATATTACGGGAAAATAATACCCTTTGTACAATGTCTTACATCAGTGACTAGTAATTATGTAGTGAAGGAGAACACAGGTGAGTAAAACCGAATATGTTTAGTACAAAATTAC